TCGCTTAGGCGGTTACAGCGCCAAATAAGAAGAAGAAGAAGAATAGCTTGAAATGCTGGCCGACAGAGAGTTAGGCTACTTACGGAAGGTTTCAAGACCAGGGCGTACTCCTGTAAGAACAGCAATGGCGACCTAGTTACCGATGTTCAGAACGTACTTAAATTATGGAGGAAACACTTTTCCACGCTACTAAATGGTAGGAGCACTGAAATTTGTGTAGAAGAAGAACCCCAGCCCCCAGTCGATGATGACCGAGTCGATGATCCACCGCCTGACTATGGTGAGGTACTACTAGCAATAACGCGGCTGAAAAACAACAAATCTGCTGCAGCTGACAGCCTGTCAGCTAAGCTATTCAAGTACGGTGGCGAGGAGTTGATGAGGTGCATACATCAACTCTTATGCAGAAAACGCACAGATGAACGTATGTCCGACGACTGAAATTTAAGTGTGCTCTTCCCAATCCACAAGAAAGGCGACTCCGCCATTCGCGACAACTACGGATCAGCCTTCTAAGCATAGGTTACAAGGTCTATTAGGGGTACTTTGGACATTGTTCACCAGCTCATTATTGTTTTTCTGAAAAAAATTTGGACGTATTTCTACGGACCAGCATCTCAAGCTCTTTTTTTGTAATACGTCGCTTCTGCCTTCTCAATTATCGACAACGCTCTCGCACAGCTCGAATTGCGCCCGATGGTAGCGTACCAGTGTAGGAAGCGTCTTACTCTCCTGAGGCGACTGGATATTCCTCATCCTACCAACTAATAGTGTTTGCAAGTTCGCTAAAATATGATTGACGCCTATGCGGTATGTAGAGAGCGAGAATCATGGTAGGGATTGATGTGTTGAACAATGATATCAGAGAGCCGCATTGAGAGCTGAGTGCTGTTGCTGTAATAGCATGCAAATTCACCAAAGAGTTTTTGAGGAGCGATGCTAGTAACAGTACTTGGCCAGATATGCATATAGGTCGTTCCGGTTACCTAGATGCGACTGTCGTGGTAACGAGAGCTGAGTGTTGAATCTGTTGGCTTCCGAGTTTTCCTTGTCTATTAAGATGACGAGCTTTGCTATATAGAGCCGATTACGTACAAATATTGGCTGCTCGTACTACCTATGTATATATGTTTAGAACACTAGAAACGTTACTTTCGCCTATCACAGCAAGATCGATATGGTTTTGTGTTTTTCGATCTGGTGGCATCAACGTTTTGCTATTGAATCTTTGTATGCTTTTCTTAGGCTCCAATGTAGTCGATCAGCAGTAGTGGAGGTTTAGTCGCGTGAGCTAAATTTTTAACTGGAAGACCAAAAGTACTCCCTTTGCATATCCAGGCACTAAAGTCACCAAACATGATTTTTGTATCGCGGCGTTTTTACTTTTTTTCTCTGACATCAGGATTTATTTTAAAGGACTTTGTTATTTCAAAGATATGATTAATACCAAAAACTATTTAAAAAATTCAATGCAATGTAGAACCAAAATATGGGTACGAAATGCAAGAGGAAATTTCCTTAGAATTTAAAAAATTTAACATTTTTGGATTTACAAGGACTAATAGGTAATTTTTTAAGCTAATAAAGTTAGAAGGACGAAATTCGAGGATGTTATCGAGTTCATATAAGTCCTTAACATATAATTTATCAAAAACAACTATTGCGAAATTTCAAGGATACAATTTCAAAAGAACATTTTCAATACTTACCAGTCCTTTTGCACCAAAAGCTTGAATCTTGATACCCACATTTCTCCTCTAAGCAAATTTCTGACCCAATTTTACTAAATTGCAAATCTTTCTAAAAATTTTAAATTTTAAAGTTTTTAGTTTTCCATGACAAAATCGCGGCTTACAAGTAGCAACAAACTTAAGACTTCCAATACATATTTGTGAATATTTGATTGCAAACATTATTCTCTCTTGGCGAACTTAAAATATCATCACGCCTTTGTAACGTAAACTTGCAAGTTGTAAAGTTTACGCCGCGTAAGCAAAAACTTGTACTCTCTTTTCCCCAACTAAGTGTACATTTTTAAGTCAATTATAACACCCACATAAAATTTTCGCTTAATCGGCTAAACGCAACACAGCATTAAATTAACTCTAATATATTTTCAAAGCACTTTGCAAATCAACAAAATGAAGCTGACGCAGGATGTCTTAATGCCTCCTGAGGTCGCTCTGAATTTTACTTAGCGCTACTGCCTAACTCAAGCACATACATACAAACATTTACGCATACATACTTAAATATGTATTTAGTATAATAAATATTAAGATAGTAACTTTTGTTGTGGTACTCACTTTCAGTGCTCCAAGCAGCTTCACAATTCTGCCATGGCAGCACACGACGAAACGAAGCGCACATATAGAATATTGTCCAGGCAATAATCAAATTATAGTAGAGCATTACAATGGCCGAGACGATAACCATGCCAGCGCCGAGACCACGAAATAGTGGACAAAAGCGACGATAGATTGCTATTGGACCCAAAGCGGCATACTGACCGAACGAAAGTTCCATGAACATGAGCGGCAAGCCGGCGATAATTAACATTATTGTAAAGGGTATGAGGAAGGCGCCTGTAAAAAGAGCAATTGGCAAAAAGTCACACCACAGAGAATTAGACATAAAAAGTCCCAATTCACTGTCATCTTCACGCATCGTACTTACCGCCGCCATTGTTGTAGCACAGATAGGGAAAGCGCCACACATTGCCCAGTCCCACCGAGTAGCCGAGCAGTGAGAGTAGAAAATCAAAGCGTCCCGTCCAATTGCCACGCTCCGGCTCGCTGGGCTCACCTGTGTCGAGTGCAATGAGTGCAGCACCCGAATCGCCACCGCCAATGGCTACCTTCGAAGCAGGTGTGGTGGGCGTATTTGGTGGATAGTTGATTGCATCGATGGGATCACGCCCGCCACCTGGTGGACCATCGGGCCCATCACCACCAATGCTAATGCTGATGGCTTTGCTGTGTGCGCTGCTGCCGCCGCTAGCGGGTGTGGTGCTTGTTGCAGCTGCTGTGGCCGGGGCGCTGCTGCTGTTTGGCATTTTGGCGCTGGCGGGCAGTTCAACGGTGGTAAAGCGATCCTCATTTTGCTGGAAGTGGGAAGAGGAAGTAAAAATTTAACTGTGATTGTAATTGCATATAAAGGGCATTTACATGCACATACATATATGAGCAAATCTCACGAGTTGTTTTTGTTTTAGTGTGTTTAGTGTTTAGTGTTTTAGTTTTGGCTATTTTTCCTTAGTTTATTTAATGTTTATTATTTTCCTATGAAAATATAGCTGAATACATAACAAACACCATATAAATCCAAACTTCAAACTTTGTGCAAAATTATGAAAAATCTTCGTTGTGCTATGCAGTTTTTTGGTCTATTAAATTTTAACATATGGTGCAAATTTGAAATAGCTAGGACCTACCGTTGATTTTTTGCATTTTTGGTAGGTCGGTGTTACGCATTTTTTCCATAAAAAGTGTATTCCACCATTTTTTATCTGGGGGAAAAATGCGGAACTCCATCATCAAAAAAATTGCCAAAAATCAACGGCATGTGTTGGTGACTTCAAATTTGCACTTTATTATACTAAAATTTGAAATATTTAAAGTTCAAAAATTTTGATGAAAATTTGCAGAATTTTCATAATGTTTGCACAAAGTATGAAATTTGGATTTAAATGGCGTTTTTAAGTAATCAGCTACACTTTTATTAAACAAATAATAACTATATAAACTAAATAAACTGAAGAAAAATAGCCAAAACATTCTCCGCCTGTTTGCTAGCTCAACCGGCTAAATCTTGCCGTAAAATGGCTAAACTGGCAACACTGCTAGTATAATGTGCGTGGGTGTGCCAGCTTCAAAAGTACCAACACCCATTTAGTACTTTAACCAACCATGTCAGCTGTTTTACGCCTAAAAGCAGATTTAATTTTTATTTATTCATGCATGTATTTATGTACATATATCGTCGCCCTTATGCCAGAAGCATGAATGTGCAAATTTACCAGTTTTGAGTTATTGCGTTGACTTGATTAACCGCTGGGTGT